GTCGCACTGTTAACGTGCAGGTCAGCGTTTCCATTACGAGCCGCCACACCTTCGGAACCTGAGAATCCAACTGCAATGCACCATGTGTCCTGTAGGGGGCGAGGGGGTACATACGGAATCCCAACAAGGTACAAATGCACGTTGCCGTTGCGGTGGACCTCATCTCTCTCAGAAATTGAAGGTGCAAGTGAATACACAGGCTTTTCCACTTATTGACCACATTACTGTTATCCTAAGAGGTCTTAATAATCATTAAGAATTGCTGACACTCTCTCTGGAATCGCATTCCCCAGCCGCTCTGGCCCAGACAAAGCCCCAGGACTCTGTAGCAGGGACAGCGGAGGCAGACGGATTGAGCAATCCACCGGTCAGCACTAACTGAGTCACATTGCAATTCTTCTAAGTGAGGCCCTGCGGTGACGAAACTCCTGATCCAGTTTGGGCCGGGCAGGCCTCCTCGGCTCCGGCATGCCGTCCCTCATCGTGACACGGCGGGGTCTGCGGGGGCTCGTGATGGGCATGCGAGATGCCGAGGCAGCGCAGGGGGGGGGAATCGGGGGGCAGGCTGGGCGTCTCGAGCCTGTCGGCGGGCTATTCCAAATGGGTTCAGTGGCTTTTCCAGTCCTCACATTGATGATGATGATGATGATGATGATGATATTATTATTATTATTAATAATAATAATAATAATAATAACTCCTTACATTTATATAGCACTTTCCTGGCCCCTCCACTCAGAGCTCTTTACAGGTCATGGGGATCCCCTCCACCCCCACCAGTGTGCAGCCCCACCTGGATGATGCTCCAGTCCTCTCACACACACCAGCTCTCAGTGGGGAGGAGAGCAGAGTGATGAAGCCAGTTCAGAGATGGGGGTTATTAGGAGGCCATGACTGGTAAAGGCCAGGGGGGGTAATTTGGCCAGGACACTGGGGTAACACCCCTACTCTTCTCGAGAAACACCCTGAGAGTTTTAATGACCACAGGGAGTTGAGAGCTGCTGAGAGCTGCTGGCCGCCACATCAGTCGGTCTCCTACTGTGCAGTTCCCTGCTGCTTCAGGAAAGATCTTTCCTGGGACAGAGGTCCAGAAAAACAACTCCTTCCTCCACGAGGGTGAGAGGGCAGGAAGACGAGAGGTTAAGAGACAGTGACAGAAATAGAACAGAAGGAAAAACAGCACAGGACGCTGCTGAGCTGTCCCTGTGATAGGAAGACCGTGGACAATGAGAGGGAGCCGAGGGAAATGGGAACGGGAACTCATCTTGCCCGAGACACTCTGGCAGCTATTGTCTCAACACCAGCTTGAGATTAACCCTTCCTAGTGCTGCCCTGACAACCCCTAGAACAGCTGGGATCTATTTCATGACAAGCTGGGCCTCGTACATGAGCCGCAGACGTGACCTGCATAGCTGAGGTCAGAAACTACCCCTCCAGCCCCGGCACAGTTTGCACCAGAACTCACGGCACCCCAAACCTGAAGATCGACCACAAGGCTGACCCCCAGGAGTCACTTCCGCGCCCCTATTCCCACGTCTAGTAAAAGCAGCTGGAGAGGAGGTCCCACTCCCTCCTTTGCCATTATTCATCCGGCAAATGCTCCTACGCACTCGCATCCGGCCAAGACAGAAAGAGTGCCGTTAGCAGAGGCATGGCGCAACACCGAGCGCGGCCCTGCTTCAGGAGTCTCAGCGCTGCCCGCCAGGCAGGAAGTCCTACAACGGCACACAGCTGAGTACGTGTCTGAAGGCCTGTCAGCTGTGGTCTCTGGCATCTTCACTGTGTGGTACACGTAGCAGAATCTGGGCTTAAAATATCTCTTGGAAAACCGACGAGCAGTTTTTGAAGGACAGTATAATTTGGAGGACTAAGGATGGGAAAGTAGATGGAGGGTTTTGACGTGCTGGCCATTCAGGCCTCTCTCCTCCCCACCACCTCTGTGTGCTGTTGCCTTGATCCAGGACAATCGCAGCTCTACAGGCTAAACCCTTGTGAAACAAGCACCGAGCAAAGGTGACTTGGCAACCACAATGGCTCGTACTCATTAACCCAACACACAGGCCGAGCGGCTGGATGTCCCCCTGAGATACCGCAGGGGCTAAGCTCCTTCCTGACAGGCTGGTGTGTGGGGGAGCTGTACAAGATCTGCCAGGATGGTCCCTTCCTGTGCAGCCACACCGCCACAGCTAGGCAAGATAAGATCACTTTATTGGCCAGATACAATTTCTTGTATTAGGAATTTGTCTTGCTCTCCATGAGACACACAGACGGGGAGAGAAGCCTGGGGGTCAGAGTGCAGGGTCAGCCATTAATACGGCGCCCCTGGAGCAGCTGGGGTGAAGGACCTTGCTCAAGGGCCCAACGGAGTAGGATTCCTTTGCAAGCTGCGGGATTTGAACTGGCAACCTTCCAGCCACAGGGGCAGATCCTGAGCCCTAAAGGCTGGTGTGCGGGGGAGCTGTACAAGATCAGCCAGGATGGTCCTTTCCTGTGCAGCAAGGGTGGCCTCAGCTCCAGCCAGCAGCTACGACCTTCAGCTGCACAGCCGTCAGCGTTCAGACCCCTCCCCTGTCCACTTCCAGAGAAAGCTGGCAGGACGCACAATTCAGTTTTCCTATGCGGACTGTTTATCTTATAAGTCTAACAGAGCCTGATAAGGCACGGTGGTTTACTCTACTTTCACCTCTGCGGTCTGGTGCTGCTCAAGCCTGTCAACAGCTCTGAAGATGCAAAACGCAACTAGCAGGCTGGAAAATCCCCAGTCACCACGCCTGAGCAGAAATGACTGGTCTTCAGGACCGGTCCCATCATGCTACTGATTTCCCAGTCTTCCACCAAGCTGCTCCCAGTCCGCCTGGCAAAGCTGGAATAATGAGTTTTTATTGCCCAGGTCAGCTGTCAGTGGAGCTTCTTCAACAGCCAGGGGAGGGTCTTAGGGGATGGTTTGGCACAATTTCTCAGAGCGGACGGGTGGTGCTGTTCTTAAAAATGGCTTCACTTGACCCCAAACGGGCACAATCTGGGCATGGCTAAACAACTGAAGAGCTGAAGAGAGGTATGTGCAAAGCCTACTGCCGGGTCCTCGCTCGGAGGTGCAGGCCCGTCCCCTGTGCAGGTCTCAGGAAGAGCTCTGTGTTCCGACATCCTGCCAGCTGTCCCTGTCCATTAACCCCTGCGCACACATCCTCCAGACAAAGGAAACCCCAGCTTATGAGCCTTTCCTGCCCCCCCCTGCTGAGCTCAACAACGGCAGGGGAGAGAGAAGCGAGGGGACTTTTCGCCGATTGCGGCCCCCTGACCACACTCTCTGGTTTAACGTTGGGGTTTTTTAGTCACATGACCGGGGTCAGATTCAGGTGTTGGTAGGCCCTGGGCACTTTCACTCTGCAATGTGCAGAAAGAGGGGGAAACGCCCATTGAATGACATCGACTGACGTGATTAAACTCTTCTAATGCTAAACCCCGTGATTGATGGAGCGAGTCAAGTGACCATCACTTCAATACTTCGAGTTTCTAGAACAGCCGCTAGATAGCGTAGGATTACTGATTTGGAGCACCGAGAGTCGATCGCAAGCATGTTGTTTCAGCTCGTTTTTCGTTGGTTTCCCTCCTTCGTCGGCCCTTACAATGTCATAGGTCCTAGGCACTAGGCATAGGAAATCCACATGACACAGCGAACGCACCAGGATGGGGGCAGGTGAACAGACTGCTCGTTCGAAGCAAGCTGTACCTAGGATTGCCTTTGAGGCAGTGAGCCCCTGTGCTGACTGCGAGGCCACTGAAGAGCCCCGGGCACTGTCGAGAAGAGGGGGTGTTTAACAGCAGGGTTAGGACGACTCTCCTGGCTGGGGCTGCACTGCAGCCGGGGAGGAAAATCAGGTCTCCTGCTGTCCAAGGTCACAAGGTTTCCGGTCCGGAACGGTTTCTCCCAGTGGATGGCTGGGCTTGGATGACTACGGAAGACCACTGCTGCCACCAAAAAAATAAATCCGCCCCCTTATCTCGGAATCCCGAGATAGCAATGACTCCTTCAGTGTATGGACGACCTGTTACGCTGTGCACTGGACGCATCTAGAAGCTACCGTGAGCTTGGCAGGACTCAGGATTAAGTGTCCGGCGCTGCAGAATGTGGACGGATCTACTCTCGCCTGGGGTTTTAGTCCGAATGAAATCTTGCCATTTTTAGCAAACCTGAACAGGATCACTACAAGCACGAGGACCGGTTTTGTGGGATTGAGAGATCAAAGAAATGATGGCTCTGTTATGAACGGTTACACATGCAATCAGTTCCACTGCTTAAATTAAGTCCACAAGTGGAGATGTTCCTCATTCCTTATCTCGGAAGTACAAGAGAACTTTGTCAGAAGTACGAGATAAGGGATTAGTTTTTTTTCCCCTCAGCGGCCGCAACGCGCTTCTGTAGCTGACAATGTTACTTGACTTAAAAAAAAAAACACACAATGTGGCAACGTTTCAGTTGAAGGGGAACCACATCGCTCTTTTTAGATTTCGGGGGTGGGGAAGATTGAGCACTGATGAGCGCCTTTCGAACTGCAATATGAGAAAAATGTGCACAGTAACTTGTAAAACCTCCAGTTGACATCATAAAATAGTTCAAATACATGTCCAGGTCTGCACAGCGCGCCATGTTCTGTGAGTCAGAACGAGGGAACAAAACTTCCAGAGGGGGTGAAGAGGCCCTATTACAGTGTAAACAAGCAGGCTTGTGAATCCAGCTCACTTAATCCAATAGAAACATTGCTCTCGACTTTGAGCTGGTGTTGCTGACAAATACTACTTGTTAACTCTGCATGCAGATCACATTGGGACATTTCTGCAGTGAAATGTCTGCTGCACAACCTGCACTTATCCACTCGTACGTCACAGTAGATCAGTCATGACGGGGACTAGTGAGCAGGAAGGGCCGCCTCGCGTCACGATTCGTGGGAACTCGCCCGTGGGGAGCCCAGGGGTTCCCGACGTCACACGGCACGCCTTACCGATGTAGAAGGTGTTGGGGGCCTCATCACCCTCCAGCTTCAGGTCCAGCAGGCTCTTGGTGTCGTTGTCGTGACGCAGCCATAGGGCCACTCCGAGGATGACCCCGCCAGCCAGCTGCGGAGAGAGACAGAGACCCCCGTCACACAACCAGACCACCACTGGGCAGCGCCCCTGACCGCCTCGCACCCCCCAAACCACCGCAGGAAAACAGGGGGAGGGGGAGAGTCCAACAGGAAACAGGAACTTCCCTGGAACTGGTCTCTCTCTCTCTC